AACTCCAGAACTCCAGTCCTACTCCAGTCCTACTCCAGTACTCGTACACCCACCACTCCGTACACCCACCACTCTGTACACCCACCACCATCCTGCGGACAATAAACAAACAATAAAATCACAGGACGGACCGATTTCCTGGAACATCGTCGTCACCCCAACAGCCACGCTGTGCTCTCTGTACCCTCTGTACCCTCTGTACCCCTCGAGTTCGGCCGGACCAGCAGGAACGAAAGAACGGTATCGAGGACTCGTTGGATCCCATCCCATCTGGAGGATTGATGACCTGCCTGCCTATACTGTACCTGTCCCCAGCTCCATCCATCCATCTATCCATCCACCCACCCAAGCCTCGAGACTCGAGCCCGCCACGAGGAAAAAATCATGATCGCTCGGGATTCGGTACGGTAGACGATAGGCGATGGCCGATAGTCGATAGTCGATAATAGCTTTGTTTGTTGCTATTGCTTTCCCCGTGATGGATAACCGCTCTGACTCTGTTTCGCGTTAAGAGACACACGGCCGACACGAGCGAAATAAGGAAAATTGCTAAACAAAGTTGTCGCATCTAGAAGAAGATCGGCATCGTAATGTCGTTGTCTGCAGGTCTGGATGCAATAGCTGCATCTGAACACACCCCGGATCTGAATCCGGATTTCCCTCCCTTTCCTGCACAGCCAGCCAGCTACTACGTAGCAAGCCAGCCAGTCTGATAGACAGACCATGCATGCATAATATACGGGCATACATACAGTACATACTACTACGTAGTATGTACAAGATTGAGATAGCTATCGGGTTCCGGTCACCCCGAAAACCAGCAACCCGGTACTCAACTCCCCCAGCACCCAATCGGTCCCATCTGTATCGTGGTACAGATATCTGCAAGGTCAGATGGGGAGTTACAACTCATTAGGCAGTTGTTGTGTTAGTTGTTATACGTAAAGCGGATAATGATCTGTGTATGCGTACAATTCGCCTGTTAACTAGCTAGCTAGCTAGCTACCGGTACCTCCGTCCTTATCCCTATCCTTCTTAGACGACACAACACGACACAACTAAACCTAAGCGAGGTCGGCACGCAGAGAAAAAGCAGCTCAACAACATGTGTTGTTGCACTTTGGTATTGTATCGCCTGCTCTACTCCGTACGCCTAGCTTCGACCGCTGCCAAGTCGAGAGCCCTGACTCAGTACCCATGCCATGCCTCCGAGATCCCCCCGTAGTTATGCTTCTTTTTTCTCAGACATCCTTTACTTACTGTACTTACGTATCTTGGTCGTCGTAGTATATATATAGTAGCAGATAGATTTAGCACGGAGTGGTATGTATGCACTTTCCATCCTACCAGTGAGTTGTTGTACGTAGTACATCTGCGATAAAAACAGAGGTAAATCCCCCCCACTCCCTCCACAAACTCAAAAAAAAAAAAAAAAAAAAAATTAACCTACGGACGTGCTGCAAAGAACCCATATTGTTTGTTAGATTAGACGAAGGATCCTCAGCCACGTTTTTTCTTTCCTGGCGTCGTGGGCGTAGCGTGTAGCGGAGCGTAGGGTAGACCAGGTAGGTAGTAGTACCTACTGTTACTTCTGTCGAGTTAGGTAAGGGTACCTAGTCAATACAACTCTGTTTATTTTGATTGGCGAGAGATACTACTGTACTACTGTACTACTGTACTTGCAATAATCATTGTTGTAGTACTACCTACGTACATAGAGCAGCGAGGGAAGCCAAAACCCCCGGGAGCATTGGTTGCACATACTTGGAGGAAAGGGGAGAGAGGACGACAACTACTCACTACAACTAGGTACCGGTGCTAACTACACTACGTACCGTAGGGAGGAGAAACTCGACAAAAATGGCGTGGCGCGCCGGGCTACTACGTACTACTACCGGTACCAATAAACTCTGTTGATGAACTGATCAGTGCGTTGGTTATTGACTGCGCAAAAAGGCCAGTGCAACTGATCTCGAAACTACGACGTCCCAGGCGTAAGTATTACCCCTCGAGGGTAGGGGAACCGGGGGGGTCTAATGTGGAAGCTAAACTTTTGAGGCGCCCCCGAGGGGTAATACTTAGCCCTGTACCGTGGGTACTAGTACTACGTACGTACGTACGCACGTACGCTGGAGCCACAATTGATATCTCTTGACCAATTAGAAGAGTCAGATAGATACAGGCAAGTGACGTCGATGGTGTCAAGTCAACAGCCAGCGCCCCCGCGCGCGCCACTCCGATGAGTTTTTACTCACGGAGGGTATCAGTATCGGTATTAGCATCAGTATAGTAGCGAATTCGTGGAACCTTGTTCTCCTGCTTTGGCTCTTACTCCGTGCGGAGCTCACTCGTCTAGTGTATTCATCGTTGATTCGGGATGCCGAGGTATACTTCAATTGCCCACAGATGTGTACGGGAAGGGAGAGAGGGATGTCTCACCAGGCCCCATACGCTCTCTCTCTCTCTCTCTCTCTCCCTCCCCCCCTCGGTGATTTGCAGCATTGAGAAATTCGGAATGCCACCGAGCGTGGAAAAGAGAGCCGACAGACGGACCCATATTTACAGCTACGACCACCACCACCACCACCACCCATGTTTACTTTCCCAGTACTGCAATTTTGCGTTTCGCGTCTCCATCTTTGCTTCTTTTTTTCTTTCTTTCTTTCCATTTTTGCTTCTTCTAGAATTTTTTTTTTACACTTTGCACTTTGCACTTTGCACCCTGCTCCACCATGCTTGCTTTTCTTGACCTTTCTCTCTCGGTCGCTCGTCTTCTCATTTTCTCCTTCTTTTGTTTTCTTATCTTCTTGATGGATCAGATAACTATACCCGAAACGGAACGGCTTGGGGTTCGAGGGGTGGGTTTGGTGCGTGCAAGCTAGCAAGTAGGTCAGGTCAGGTCAGGTCCTCTACGGTACTCATTCACGTACTTACTCACTGTACGGATGCGTACTGGCAGTTAGGTGGCTGGTGGCTGGTGCTGTGCTCTGAAGAAAGAAGGCCGAGGGCAGGCTAGTACTGACAAAGGCTCGAAGGAGTTCTTTGTATGGGAAAAAAGGTTTGCGGAATGTCTGCCCATGCCACGCGCCGTCCGGCACCCCTCCCCCCTTGTTCGGCTCCGCTCCGGGGAACTTGGGAGCCAGGGGGATGCTGGGAGGGCCTTTATTTACTCTTGTACGAGTAAGAGATACTACTAGCTGTACATACTCAATGCGCGCTAGGCTGGGAAGGCCTTTATTTACTCTGTACGAGTAAGAGATACTACTAGCTGTACAAACTCAATGAGCGCTAGGCTGGAAAGGGATATATATATATATCTCTCTCTCTCTCTCTATAAGTATATTCAGTCGTACGGATAGGACGTGGTGTATGCGTGCAAGCACAACTATTGCGTAGCCAAGGCAGCGTGGAGGCACGACATCTTACGTTAGATGTGGATGTACTATGTATGTACCGGCATCGGTACTGCAGATGTGAAATCCGTACCGTACAATACGGAGTAGGTATAGTAGTTGTACGTGGTGTACACCACACCGTCAAGCCATGCCGGATCGAAAGGTGCTTCCCTTCTACCCACTAGCAACAATGGCTACCTCACTGTCCGTCGATGTCTCACTTCCCGGATGCGTATGACACGACACGGTGCGCCTCCAATTGCCATACTGTTGATGCATCCGCCGAACCACATGCTGCAGGCATGCAGGAGGGTATCGAACGAGGTACCGTCACCCGTTCCGTATGGTAATTGCAGGTATAATATAGCACCACCGTCTTACCAGAAACGGGAAGCTGTGATCTACTTTGACCTTTGACTTTTTGGTTCTTTGCACATATATATAGTAGGAGTCGGAGTCGGAGTAGGGAGTTGGGATGACCACGAATGGCCTCTGCTAAGAGGTTGTACTTACTACGTACAACTACTACTACTACTACGTACTTACTATAACTCACTATAACTATAACTATAACAACGACCTCTCTCCTATAGCCAAGCCGACCTGGTAAAGGTTAAAGTTAACGTCGCTCGCTTCGGTGCCCTGACCCCCATCCGGCCAATCAGATGCCCCTATGCCCCTATGTTCTTATCCCCTTAACTCCTTATGCCCCCCCATCGAGACCCGGAATCTCAGACCTCAGGATTGGAACCTGGACCGACTTGCCACGCTTCCCTACCCGGACCGCCACTACAAGACTCAAGTACCGGCCTCCCGTCAGTCAATCGGCTAGTCAGTCAGTGTCTGTCTGTCAGTATCTGTCAGTCAGTATCTGTTAGTCAGTATCTGTCTGTCAGTTCTGCTTCAGCTTCAGCTTCAGCTTCAACCTCAACCGCAATCCCAGCCCAGCTCAACTCGATTGAACTGGACTGCACTATACTACTACACCAGACTACACCAGACTACACCAGACTACACCAGACTACACCAGACTACACCAGACTACACCAGACTACACCAGACTATACCAGACTACACCAGGCTGCGACTGCGACTGCGACTGCATTGACTTGTATTCAATTCCATTCATTCCATTGTCTGTCTATCTGGATCACTCACTCGCTCGCTCGCATTCAGCATAAGGGCAGTGTTCGCTTATGTGGGCATCTTTTGCCGCACCCTTAATCTACGCCCTTCTTGTTGTTCTTTAGCCCAATCCATCAGACTTTCTTTCTTTCCCTATCCCTATCCCTCCTCTACCCCCGTTCCCCGTCCTCGAGCCCCCCCCCCCCGAGCTCTGACCAATTCGTTCATCGAGCCTCACACCTCCTCCCCCGCGCCGAACCACCCCCTTCTATCGCTTCTGCTTTCCTGCTACTTCCATCCAAGTCGCTCTCTCACCCGCACTCGCACAATGGCCTCCTCTTCTTCTCATATCTCCCACGTCTCCCACGTCTCCCAGGGCCTCCCGACCGGTCTTTCAAATGTCCTCAACAAGCCCGACGACCAGCGCGATTCCGCCTACTACTCTTCCAGGGACGCCGCCTCGAGTAAACGTAAGCAAGGTGTGTTTCCACGCTGTGCGAGTCTCACTAACCGCGACGCAGATAATTCCACCCAGTCGAGCAATGGCAATCCTTACCGTGAATCCTCTTCCTCCACCCCTTCTCCCATTTCGAATGGCCTGAACACACAATCTCTCAATTCTCCTACCTCGGGCACGATGAGCGTGGCTTCGATTGTCTCGCCGACCACCTACCAAGGCTACCCGCATCAATTCTACGATCACAACCAACAGAATGGGGACCCGCGACGCGAATCAGTCGACAGCAGATTGGGTGCGAACTTTGGTGACTTGAAGTTGACGAGTTCCCCATACGCAAGCGCCAACCCCTCCACCACCTCCTTGCAGAGCACACTCGCCCAACAACGAAACCCCGGCTCTGCTCACCCCGATCGCAACTCCGGCCCTTTCCGTCTCTCCAGCGGCTACCAGCCTAATTACCAACGTCTACCAGACGGCGGCACGCGCAATGCCCCCCAGATCACTGGTCCTGCGTCGGGAGTGATTGCGCGAGCCCCGGAGCCCACTAGGGGTCAGGCCTGGGCTTTTCCGGAGGAGGAGGTGAAGAGAATTCCATCGGGCTCGAGACCTAATGATGATAAAGGCAACCGCCAAGGCACCTCATTCTTCGACGATTCCAGGCGCAACTCGTATGCCGACTCGGTCGCCAGCAGTCAATACAACGCTGAGTCCCGTCTCCCTGCTGGCCAACGACGCTTGGATGAGGGTACCCCGGTGTCTGATTACCAAACGGAATCGTCCGAGTTTCAGATGAGCACCCACCACCATAGTTTGCAACATAGGCAGCTATCGGAATTGCAAGGCGATGGTGACTCTCCTAATAGCTCCCAACCTTACTCACGTACTCCCGAACTGCGCGTTTCTCACAAGCTCGCTGAGCGTAAGCGTCGCCTCGAGATGAAGGACTTGTTTGACAACCTGAGGACATTGCAAAGCGTCGAGCGGGGGGCCAAGGCTTCAAAGTGGGAGATTCTGTCCAAGGGTATGGGCTTCTATGTCTCAAAGTAGGATGTGGCTAATCAAATTCCAGCAATCACCGAGCACGAGCGTCAAACCAAGGTTATTGACGATCAGAAGAAGCAGCTCAGTCGAGTGGAGCAACGCCTTGTCCGATCAGAGCAGGACCTTGACATCTCCAGACGTGAGGTCCAAAGTGTCAGATCGGAGAATGCGCAACTTCGAGCACAGTTGGCAGCTATCCAAGGCAATGGCTCTGCGGTCTCGTACCATCAACCTACCCCCCCGGTCCACCAGCAACATGGCTACATGCCAGGTCCCGAGCAGCAAGTCCCGCATCCAGCTCAACAACAGCTTCCACCTCTGCGAAACATTCCTGGTCCTGAGGTTATGAACGGAGTTCAATACCATGATCAGCGAGCCAACGGGTACCGCGCAGGGGATCGCTTCTAAACTCTCTCTTGACTCTACATGTTGCTTGTATGACGTCCCTATTGTTTCTATGTTGTCCAATCCGACTCTGCCACATGGCCCACTGAGGCAGGCCTGCATCCAGCTTAGATGTTCACCACGCGGCCATGCCCGTTTTCCTTTCGAATTGATCCTGCGCATCTCTGAATGCACCTCGACATAGGCTAGCCCACTATTCGTTGGCTCTGGATGCAACAACTTCGCTTGTCACCTTTTCCGCCTCTGGTCGGTTTTCTTCTTCGATGCGCCAATACCCCCGGTGGCTTTCGCTCTGACGCTCTCGCCTCTGTTCTAGGGACTTGGCCTTTATTTTCTTTGTTTTCACCCAATGTGTGCGGCGCTAGCAGGGCATTACAACGGCGTTAATGAGTGGTCATGTATTCCTGTTCAAACATATGTATGTTCACGGGGTGGGGAGTGTGGATCATGAGATAATGTTTTGCTTGAGGCTCTGCTTTGGCTTCATTTATGGACCGCAAAAACCGAACGAAAAAAATGGCGGTCTAGGATATGGCACGGCGTTCGATATACCCCTACGCGCGATTCTCTTCTCTCGCTCTCCCTCGATTAGGAAGTTCCATTTCTCCGAAGAAGAGACTTGGATATGATGGGAGATGCGAAGTGGATGTATGTGTATGCATGCCTGCATGCTTGCTCTGCTTGCTGTGGTTGTTAAGATAGTGTTAGGAAGGTGTCGCTGCTAGGGCTCAGGCAGTGGTCATCCGATAGATCAAGGATAGAATCTTGAGGTGGCTAATGAAATCAAGAATCAAGAATACTTGCATTTCTGAATAGGTGAAGATTGCCTGTTTTCAAATATGTATCCCGGGATAATGTTCTGGGTGCTAAGTGAGGCGCGGTACAGGATGCACAGAAAGGACGAGAGAAAAGCGTATCTTGCAAAGGCTGAGATTCCGGCTCTATTAATGAGTACTGGAGCGCCTACATGGATATCTGAAAGTGAAGAATACAAGCTTGCTTGCTTAGGACGAAGGAGCCTCGAGGTGTTGTCCCATTCCATGTCGGTCTTGGATGTTGATAACCACTTGGACATTCTCTGGAGAGGTTCTGTACTGCCCAGAGGGCAATTACGTATTGACCGACTAGATTTCCAGTTACATGATATTCTTCCTATCTTAAGAAGCGAGTGTTTCTGTCTTTAAAAAAAAAATTTTAAAAAAAAAGAATGAAATGAAAAAGGGGGAGAAAAGAAAATGGAACAAAGTAGCGGAGGCTATGTGTTGAATTGATTGCCCTTTCATCCAAGCTTTTTCGCTTATGCAAAATGGAAAGGAGGTGGAGGGCTCGAAGCAGACTAGCGGGCTCCGCTTTTTCGCCATCTGGCTCTCCCAAAACCCTGAAGGAGAGGAAAAAAAAAAATTGAGAGCATCAGCTTCAATCCCTCCCCAACCCAACACTCTCAACACCACAACAGACTTCGAGAACTACATCGACAAGTCTTGTCATTACCATCTCTCATCATGTACGTATGCTATGCTCTAATCTGTTATCCATCGGATAAATTGCTGTGTCGAGTTCGAGGCGATGGCAGTGGGCGATGATGGCCGATGAATCTGTTTGATCCGTCTCTCGAGCCCTCCATTGACAGTTGAGTGATCCTGCTAACGCCCAACACCCAGGCATCTCATCAAACGTACCGCCTTCCGCGCTGCATCTGCCGCACCGCAGATTCAGGCCCGCAGCCTCACCTCCGCCCCATCCCCCTTCGCTCTCCGCAACAAGACCCAAGCCGCCATCTCGCAGTTCCAGGTCGCGGCTCGCAAGTTCAGTGACGACGCCGAGAATGCCGTGAAGAGAGCAATGGAAGCTGCGTCTGCACCTGAGGGCTCAAACACTTACACAGGTGGCAATGCAGGTGGCTTCGGTGGCTATCCTCCTAGAGAGCCGAGACAGTACGAAGACAGACGCGGCAGTGGGTCCTACGGGGGCGATCGTGGCGGAAGAGAACCCTATGGACGTGGTGGATACGGGGGCGGACGCGGTGGACGTGGTGGCTATGGTGGCGATCGTCCATCGTACGGAGGACGTGGAGGTGGAGGTTCATCCTATGCTGATCGCACACGTCCTGCTTATCCGGAGCGTGTACTACCTGCGCCGTCGAATTCCATATATGTGGGTAACTTGCTCTTCGATATCACCCAGGAGGACATACAGAGGGAATTTGAGAGCTTCGGTCCGATCAAGAGTGTCACGATTGCGTCTGATAACCGAGGTTTGAGCAAGGGGTACGTCGCCATCTCCCGTTTCCTTGTTCTAAAATCATGTTAACGTGATCACAGATTCGGCTACGTCGAATTTGAATCCATCGAGCAAGCCACCGCCGCAATTGAAGGCAAGAACCAAGCTGTTCTCGAGGGCCGCCGCCTCGTCGTCAACTACATGAATAAGAGCCAACGCTCCCCCGCCGGTGCAGAGCCCGTCAACGAGCCCTCCAAGACCCTCTTCATCGGTAACTTGGCCTTCGAGATGTCTGACGCCGACCTCAACAAGCTTTTCCGTGACATCCGAAACGTCATCGATGTCCGAGTCGCTATTGACCGCCGTACCGGCCAGCCCAGAGGATTCGCTCACGCTGACTTTGTCGACGTTGAGAGCGCGATTAAGGGCAAGGATGCGCTGCTTGGAAAGGAGGTCTACGGACGTACCCTGAGAATTGACTTCAGTGCCGGTATCCGGGACAGAAGAGGTGATGGAACCCCGCCTAGAGACACTCGTGTCGATGCTCCTGGAGGGGCCGAGGAATAGATGTCTCTCCTCTGACTCAACGTAGCCAGATTTTAAGGTATGCTGGGAGCAAAGTGTACGATGTGCGTGGGTAGAACTGGATGAATCAGGGCGTGCGAGTGTATGAAAAAGAATTGCGTTGTTCTTCAACTCCCCTTGTCTTAAAGCTCGGTTTATCACTTTTTATTGTAAAATAACTCCGGAGGATGTTCTTTTTCTACCTTCTCGGAGCCCGAAAGAATGGCTGGCAGCGTAGAAATCGCAAATGGAGACTCGAGGGGGAGATGGGGGGGCGACGGGGTTTAAAGATCTAGGGATGATAAGAAAGAAAATAGTGTGTGTGAATGTGTAAAACTCCTCTCTCACTCTCCATCTCTTTTTGTTGCAGTTTCGTACGCCTAGCAATTGGTACCACATACTTGTATAGCATAAGATCTATAATGCGTGCATATGACCACGGGATGCGGATTCTCTCTCTGGAAACGACAACTCGGATGGGTAGGGTAATTAACTGCGAGGCGGCCGCGAAATCAGTGAAAATCAGGTGGAACGGCGGGCCGCCTCACGATTAGGTAGGGTAGATCGAATTATGGTCATCTAGTCGGTTGGTTGGTTGATTGATTGATTGATTGAGGTACGGTATGTACGCGGTGATTAAGGTACGGTACCTAGCTACTTACTACAGTACTGTAACTTCTGGTAGCCGATGCTGGATTCTCTCTCCGAAAACCAACCTCGGCATCATTATTTTTACCCTGGCTTACTCCGTACTCACTCCGTACTTATGTGAACATTTCCCCACATTTGACGGCACACACCCCCCATACCACAGCCCCCCACAACCCCACCCTTCTTACTACGTACTGTACCAACCAACCTAATTCCCGTACTTGTTTGTTCCAAGTACAAGTCTTACAAGCAAGCCGCTCTGGATCTTCCTGTTTTTGATTTTTTTTTTTCCTTGGTCCTGCAGCGCTGCGTAACGTAACGTACGTACGTACGACCGACCGAGCGACCGAGCGAGCGACGAACGTGGACATAATTTGGTTTGGTTTGGTTTGGTTTGGTTTACCTCGGTGGAACGTTGGAACGACCGAAGGCTTTGGTGGGTGTTATTTGGACTCGACTCGACTCGACTCGACTCGACTGGACGCAATCCGAGGCAGTCCGGCTTGAGAGGGATAAGAGTCGTTGTGCGTTTGTCGGTTTGGGCGAATTGTGAAGAGGACAGAGAGGAAGAGTGGAGAGGGAGAGAAGAGAAGAGAGGAGGGAAGGGAAAAGGGCATCTGACGTGGCGAAAACGCGGATCCGCTTGTTTGCTTACTTGCTTGCTTGCTCGCTGGTGTTGGTGGTTTGGTGATACATACGTACGTACAATACGTACATACGACTGCGAGTACGACTGCGATCGGACGACAGAGAGCTCTTTTCTCGCCTTGCTCTTCTTGGAGCTGGAGAATTGAGAGCTGAGCAGAGCTGAGCAGGATTTCCTCCTTATTCTTCGCGACGCGGCTTCTCTGCGGAGGAACCAAGTAGGCAGATAGGCAGGCAGAGAATCCAGACGACGCCCACCCGACGCCGACATGTCCTTCCTCGGCGGCGCCGAGTGCAGCACTGCCGGCAACCCGCTGAGCCAGTTCACGAAGCATGTTCAGGATGATAAGAGTCTGCAGAGGGATCGGCTGGTGGGGGCCAGGCCCGGCGGGGGCGCGATGCAGGGGATGAGGAGTCAGGGCGGGTTGGGTATGAGTGGGAGTCAGGATAATGTAGGTTTTTTTGGGGGGGGTTTTCTTCTTTACTTGGATCTTTATGGGAAATTGGAGGGGATGGTGGGAGAATGCGATGGGGGGTTGGGGAGGAGGAGGGTGGCAGAGGGGAAGAAGGATCGCCGCATACTTGAGATCTGGAAATGGGTTCTGGGAATACTGGCTAATGGGTAACAGATGATGAGCGACTTTATGCAGCAGAACGGCCAGATCCCTGAACAGTTCGCAATGCAACATGACCTTCATCAAGTACAGCAAATGCGAGCCAGCTCCTCGTCACCAGGTGTGAATGGATGGGCGCAAGAATTCAACCCCGGCGTAGACCAAGCGCGGATGGAAGCTGCGTTCCAGGCTCCGAAAGGCACCGTGTTCAGCCCCAATGATTTTGCGCGGTTCCAGCAGATGAATCAAGGTGCTAGGGTGGGAAGTCCCATGCAGCAGCAAATGGGTACCGGATATCAAGGCTACCAAGGGCCCATGGGTATGAACAGGGGCTTGGGTATGGGAATGGGCGGTATGGGAATGGGAATGGGCATGGGGATGATGAACCACTCCCAGTATCAGGGCCCCCAGAACCTCCAACAGCAGGACAAAGGCAAGGGCAAGATGATCGAGCTCGACGACGAGCACTGGGAGGAGCAGTTCAAGCAGATCGAAATCCACGGCCGCGAGCAGGATGAGAGCATGGCTGCGGAAGCCGAACTGGAGCAAATGGACAGGTCAGTGCTGGAGTCCGAGACCAACGAGTTTGGCGACTTTGAGAGTATTTGGCGGGGCATACAAGCTGAGACTGCTGCTGCTAGGGACCTTGCCGAGACCGAGGAACACATGGGCGACTACGAGGACTGGGGCCGCTATGATAATCTGGCCACGCATCAGCCGTTCCGCGATCCTCAGCTGGGTGATTACATGTTTGAAGAAGATAACATCTTCAAGGAGGTACAGAACCCGTTTGAAGAAGGCGTGAGGATCATGCATGAGGGGGGAAATCTTTCGCTAGCGGCGCTAGCGTTCGAGGCAGCGGTGCAGAAGGACTCGTCGCATATCGACGCCTGGGTCCACCTCGGATCTGCACAAGCCCAGAATGAGAAAGAGACGCCGGCTATCAGAGCTCTCGAACAAGCAGTTAAACTCGATCCCAATAACCTCACTGCCCTAATGGGTCTCGCCGTATCATATACAAATGAGGGCTACGACAGCACGGCGTACCGCACGCTCGAGCGCTGGCTCTCCGTCAAATACCCCTCCATCATCGCACCTACAGCTCTCTCTTCCGGCGTCGATGTCGGTTTCACAGATCGCCATCTCTTGCACGAAAAGGTCACTGACCTCTTCATCTCCGCTGCCCAGCTTTCCCCAGATGGAGAGCACATGGACCCGGACGTGCAAGTCGGGCTAGGAGTACTGTTCTACGGAGCCGAGGAGTACGATAAAGCTGTTGATTGCTTCTCCGCTGCTCTCGCCAGCACAGAGAGCGGAACGAGCAACCAGCGAGATCAAGTCCACCTCCTGTGGAATCGGCTGGGCGCCACCTTGGCGAACTCGGGCCGCAGCGAGGAAGCCATCGCGGCCTACGAGAAGGCGCTCACGCTCCGCACGAACTTTGTGCGGGCGCGCTACAACCTGGGCGTCTCGTGCATCAACATCGGGTGTTACGCCGAGGCGGCCTCGCACCTCCTCGGCGCGCTGGCCATGCACAAGGTTGTCGAGAACGAAGGGCGCGAGAAGGCCCGCGACATTCTGAGCGGGGCGGGGAGCGGCGTCGGGCTGGACGCCAACGGCAACGTGAGCGAGGCGGAGCTGGAGCGCTTGATCAGTCAGAACCAGAGCACGAATCTCTACGATACGCTCCGGCGCGTCTTTAGCCAGATGGGGCGGCGGGATTTGGCGGAGCGGGTGGTGGTGGGGATGGATGTTGAGAGTTTTAGAGGGGAATTTGAGTTTTAGTGGGTTTGGGGAAGAGCGGAGGACGGATGAGGAATAGGTAGGTAGATATGAGGGAAGAGGGTATGAAAATGGACGGGATATGGGGGAAATTGGACGACGGGTGTATATACATGTCATGTCTGAGAGATGGAAAACGAAATTTTTATTGGTGGGTGGGGGTGTAGATGCATGAGATTCTGCCATCATGGCACCGTAATGCAAGTCTTTGGGTGTGCTATATGTGGCATATGTTAAAATGGGCAAGTGAAGCGCCGAGAAGGCAGCTCGGAAGTCTTGTGTTGTGGCTGGAGGCAAAAGTCAACACAAATCCTGCAACGTGCAACAAAGATTTAACCAGAGGAGCGAGGCTGATGTGATAGGTAGGTAGGTAGGTAGGTAGGTAGGTAGGTAGGTAGGTAGGTTAGGTAGCCTAGCCTTGCAGATCAGAGGACGTTCTTCGGGTCGGGGGGGTGGGGGGCAAAAATAGCGAAGTGCCAAAAAAAATAAAAAAAATAAAAAAATTCACCCAAAATATATCATAATAACACTAATAGTACTATTAAAATCGAGGGAACTGATAAGCGGGACGTTCGATTTGCGAGCGGGGGTGAGTTTTAGTTTAGTTGACAAAGAAAAAAAAAATTTAAATAAATAAATAAAGACAAGGAGAGAGAGAGAAGAGAGAGAAAAATGTGGGGCTAGGTCTAGGTGTACCGTAAGCGAGTCTGGTTTGGAAGGGGCTAGGGGCTGATCTGATCTGATCTGATCTGATCTGAGTGAGCTTCTGCTTTGTGTTGCTTTGTGTTGCCTTGGTTTTTTATGAGGGAGAGGGAGGGAGGGAGGGACGGAGGCAGGGAGGGAGGCAGGGAGAGAGAGAGAAAAGCTGCGAGAACGGCGATGGGGCGCTTCTCTTCTGCGGCGAGGGTGGGAAGTGATGACGAGAGATGATGCGTCTTGGCCGAGACGGGAATGGGTGGATATGGATGGGGACCAGAAGGCTCTTCGTTCTCGATCTGTAGGTTTTGTTCGCCCTGTTGAAGATGCGGTTGCTGTGTTGACTGGACTGCGGTGTGCGACGAGAGGGTGTGGTTTGCTGTGCGGTGGGTTCTGAGCAGTGGGGGGTATTTTTTTTTTTTTTTTTTTTTTTCTTTTGTTTCAAGTGAATTCATTGGTCTGGCTCGTTCGGTTCACCTTCTCTTAGCTTCTAGTTGTTGGTTTTCCATGTTAACAAGACTGCGACGTGCAACAAAAAAGATCTGGTTGCTACGCGGTGTGTTCTGAGGAATAGGCTTTGTTCAAGTGAATTGATCTATCTAGAGCGGGACTCGGTATTCGTCTAGCTTATTGAATTCACTTTCTGTCAGCTTCTAGTTGTTGGTTTCCATGTCAACAAGACTGCGACATGCAACAAAATGATCTGGTTGCTACGCAGTGTGTTCTGGGCAGTAGGTTTTGTTCAAGTGAATCGATCTCGGACCAAGCTTGCCTATTTCGGATCCCTTGCCACAAGTGTACTGCATCTTTGGGAAGTAAACAAAGAAAACGACGTGCAACAAAAAACTTGAAGCCCGCTTAAGCAGCTCGGGACTTGGTTGGCTGGCTGGCGTTAACTTCCCATCCGAGCTTCGATCTGCCTCTGAAATATTCTTTTAGTAAAGGTAATAAACAAAAGCCGGCGATCAACAACAGCAAAACTCATTTTACTCGCCGAGGGCCTCTTGGTTCACCCACCGACAAGGTAAAGCTCATCTGTGACAGGATATAGTCACCGGAATCTTCTAAGAATGAGCAGAGATATCCAAGAAAAGCTCTTACTTGAAATCCCAATGGCAGAGCAAGTAGCTTCAGAAAATGAGCAGCGTCAGGAGATATCGATTTTCTTCGAATGGTATTTATTGCGCCAAGGATCAAGTTTTTATGGAACTGCTTTCTCCGACAAGTCCAGCCTGACAAAAGCCAGGCATTTAGTCCCACACAGTTTATATATCTCCTCGTTTTGGAACTAACCACCCGTTGCGTGTGGAATTTCAAGAAAACAACATCTTCATACGTATAGCGGGTAGACCCTTCGCCATCATACGTCGGCGGTGGTGCCTAATAAATAATGGTTGGAGGCTGTAACATCCTCTTCGCAAGGCTATTCACGTCAACAATACAAATTTGGCATTTTGATTCGAAACGCTCGGCCTTTACTCCTTTGCCGTCTTCTTCGAATCGGCTTGTGCATTGGGATCGTGCTTCATCTCTGTACGTGCTCTATCGCGATAATGAAGATACAGGATCGAATCGGCATGCTGGGAAAACTGCGTCGAACAGATTTTGGCAAGAGTTGATGAGAATTATGGTGCCATATGGCTGGATTCTTAGAAGCAGGAGGGTGCAATCCCAGTAACGAACACATGAACACAAAAGAGCGGTGCATGACATCGGAAAGAGGATGCCAATCATAATGATAACTCTACTGCTTGCTTAGCACATGAATAGATTAGAACAGGGTATATCAACAGAGCACAGAACACAACGCCGTATCAGGTATACAGCTGGAAGTACAGTCTACATCCGCCTCCCCAGTACCGCGCCCTCTTACAAGTAACCCGCAGAACCTGCTACCACACCGTTGAAACCATTGGTTACTGGTCCTGGGGTCGACGCTGCGCTCTCCAACCTCGCGACCAGCTTTTTAACTTGGGCCCACTCCTCATGCCTCGCGCTCTCTTTCCCACCAAGATCTGGCCCAACTTCGAAGACAGTAAGGGTGCCATCAAGACCCCCAGTGGCCAAACGCTTCCCATCAGATTCGTCCCAGGCGAGCTTATTCAAACTCTTGGACATCAAACTCCTACCCCCTTTACGTCCACTAGGCATGACTTTGGAGAGCGGGACTTCGGTATCAACAGTGATATCCCAAACTTCTAAAGTACCAGCACCATCAACAAGCGAGAACACTCCAGGCTTGACAGGCGACCAAGCAGCGTCGTAGACGACGTCCTCGCGAGTGATTTCGATGATTGGGACGACGGTTTGCAATTCTCCTGTTACGCCAGTAGTCGAAGTAGCGGCTGGTGCGCGGACTTTCCACAACTTTACGCTCCAGTCTAGTGAGGAAGAGAGAACTAGATCGCCGAGATCAACTGGCCCACGCGCGGGGTGGAAGTCGATGGACATTACAGACGCCGCGTGTCCTCTGTAACTTACCCGTTGATCAACGCCTGCTTTGGCACCGGCGCGGTCGTAGCGGTGACAGGGGAAGATGGTGCCTTCTTCTGAGCCGACCAAGAAGTATGTTGGGTCGGTTTGCGGGAAGGCCATGCAGGTGGGGGAAAGATCTTCTGTCTTGGCCGGGGGAGGCGTGGTGAGGGTGAGGAGTTCTTGGGGTTGGGCAAGCATATCGACTGTCCATCCGCAAACGACGCCATCGGTGGAGCAGGAGATAATGTTATTGGCGTTCTGGGTGCCGACTATGTCAATTGAGTAGACGGGATGCGTATGGCCTGAGCCAGTCAGGGGAGTCTTCTGTACAGGGGCTGATTTGGCGCGGGTGTCCCATAGGAGGACCTGCCCACTGTAGCAGCCACCAATGATGAGATTAGGGTGGAAAGGAGAGAATTTGGCGGCGAGGACGTCGGACTGGGCGTGGAAGACGAATTCAGGGCGGTCGTGGAGGTGCATATTCCAGACTTGGACGAGTCCGTCAGGATCGTGGGGCGCGGAAGGGTTCTTGGTGTAGGCTGCAAGGACAAGTTCTGGGAATTTGGGAGAGAAGTTAATATCGCTGATCATCCTCTTCTTAGACCATCTCTCGTCATAAAACTGAGCGACTTCCTTGACTCGCCGCCGTCCTTTGCCTCTGGTGTTTCCGTACTCATCGTCATCGTCCTCAACCCCGTTCTCTCCACTCAAGGCATAGTCTGCCAAGATATCATATTCTTGGTCCAGTGCTCTCTCGATAACTTTGCTGGATCTCTCCACGAAGTCCATAAAGTCTTCCGAGGACGTCACTGCTTTGAGCTCTTCATGCGTGAGAGCCCTAGCAGGAAAATTCGCGGCAGCAGGATTTTGTGGAACCTTTAAGGATCCATCAGTGACCAGGTCCCGGGTTGCCTTGAGCTCCTCCTCGATTTCTTTTCTGATGTTTTCCCTCAGCTCCTCCTCCCGATCCCTCTCCCTCCTGCTTAATCTTTTATTGGGTGAAGAGGTTGGCGGTGTTTTCACTCCATCATCATCCTCATCTTCAAATGCCCTCGGTCGTGATGCCAGGGTACCCCATTCCTCTGCTGTCTGTACTCCTTTACTGTATGAAAAGATCTCTTTGACCGGTGATGGCGGAAACTCGAAGACCGTAGCCAAAGGAGCAGTGGAGAGAGTTTGGGTTGAAATCGAAAGGGTCTGAGCTTGGTTCTGGACCTGGCTGATCGAGGGCTCCGAGGCTTCATTGCTAAGTTCCCCGGCACTTAAAACACTGTTTGGTCGACTGCTTTTACCAGCGGGAGAGCCGGCACCTCCGGGTCCTGTAGAGCCAGGTCTGCTCTTATCAACCAGAATCGATGAGATGTATTTGTCTAACTCCTCCCGGTTCTCTGCGCGGCTGGGCGTTGGTGCTAGGATCTAGATAGAGTCAACGCCCAAACGTGGCAGTCTGCACAGAGGAAATACATCACTAGAACTGCCTATGCTCTGCCGACTCGAAGATAACTCCCTCGTACGCAACTCCCTCTGCCTCTTCAACTCGGCAAGCTTGGCCTTCTTTGCCAGAATCTCGTCTCTACGTTGTTGCATCATGTCTGCGACACACGCCCATCTCGGGGCAACGGGCTGGCCTCGGTCTCTGGGTTGTCGCAGATATCTCGCGCTCTGGCGGTCGTGAACTCAAGGGCCGTCTGGTTCCAAGGTTATCGAATAGGATGCAGCGGATTGAGATGATATATGGGAGTCTCGCTTTTCTCGTCCTGCGCGTGTCGTAGTCGTAGTCGTTGTTGGCGTCGCGTAAGTAACCCGTTGAAACGATCCCGTGCACCCGCCCCGAATTTCTTTTTCGTCCGCAGTCGCCAGACCCCGGAAGGAGCTCGAACGACCACCTCCAAAAATTACCCCATCACAACTGATAGCACCTCCAACCCAGCTTCGACAGCCTGTCAATTGATCACTGCCGATTCGAACGAGATATCGTCCCTTTTCGCCGTCCATCCGCTCATTCAATCGTTCACCAAATTTCTGCGATGACTTCCACCGGGGTAAATGTACGTCACAGTTTTTCTTGCGCTGGCCAGGAACAGCACCAATGGCTCGGAAACCTGCCATGCTTTCTTCTACGATCATCCGAGCGCATTTTCTGATAAAACTGCTTCTCCAGGTCCTCCGCTACGCGGCGTTGGGTACCGGTGTCTTGTACGGTTTCTACCATCAATCCAAGCTCACTGCGGCTTCGAAGCTTGCGGCAGCCAACAGAGAGTACGAGCGCAAGCAAACCCTGATTGCGCAAGCAAAGGCAGAATTCTCGAAGATGAACTCGCCCGCGAGTGCAAAGACACAAGGCGGAGACTGTACGTTTAACCCGACATGGCGCTCGATAGCACCTTACGTGTTCGGGATGGAGTTCCGGATGCCACTGGAACCCTCAGGGCACAATTGGACTGGAAAAGGGGGCGTGTTCTCTCACGAAAAGCTGCTGACGGTTTCAAACAGTCATTAGAGACCCGAACGACTCGAGGTTCGACTTGGAGGCATACTTGAACACCTTGTCAACGGAGAACCCATGAGGATACCAGGTATAGGTTCGGGCTGTGGCAGTTGGTCGAATGGATGATAACAGATGGCTGTGAGGGCGAATGGAAGTATGGTTGAGAGTTTAGGAGATGCGCTTGTGACACAAAAGCCTTAGACGTCACTTAGCATCCATCTTGTACATTGTACCATAATGAATGGAGAAGCTAGATCATTCAGCAATTCTGGCTACATATTGGGAGCTTCTGTTTTTAGATAGCCATATCCAGCAATCCAGTAGACCTTGAATCAAGAAACCCCTTTCTCTGACCTACCAATTGTTATTGATCGGAGGCAGTCTTTAAGTTATCTTTACACAATAAACTAGAATTGATGTAGGCTCTGAATTGTGGCTGCTGTGTCTGTGGACAAGCCGTGTAGGTAATATCTCTCCTACTAGCTATCACCCCCAAGCTTCCGAATAGACAATAACCATGGACCGCTGCAATATCCAAGCTGATGGAAGAATCGTTATACCCTAATTGTGTATTTCTAGCATGTCTGTGTCTAGAAACAACACACGTGATTACTTATCTGGTGTACAGACTGGGCCCCCTGCAGCCGCGTCGTCAAAGACAGATGTCCCTCAGGCGCATCTATCAGGCGCATCTGTCAACGACAACTTTCTTGATCAACCACCAATTATGCCAGAGACAGTATCAGAACCCTTTTTCAAGGGAAGCACGGGGAGGAGCTCCAGGGGACTGCTTCGGTTAATTATCCTGAGTTTAGTCGCGGCTACGTACGTACTTCAATTGTCCTCGAAAAGCTGCTTTGCTGCTACCGGAGGAGCTTCTTCTGGCCGGATGGCATGGCAGATCTTCTAAATGAACAAGGCTGATTTTCCTGCAGAGCTGTCGCATCTCGTTTGTTCAGTGTCATCCGCTTCGAATCAATTATCCATGAGTGTCAGTGCTGGCTCTTTCGACTCTGATCCACCCCTCGAACACAACCAGATCACTCGGGACTCTTTGGCTAACTGAAGTGCAGTCGATCCGTGGTTTAACTTCAGAGCCACGAAATACTTGGTACAACATGGCTTCTACGATTTTTGGGATTGGTTTGATGACCGTACATGGCATCCACTTGGACGAGTTACAGGAGGAACACTTTACCCAGGTCTAATGGTTACCAGCGGTGCCATCTACCATGCGCTCCGAGCCCTTACTATCCCGGTTGACATTCGAAACATTTGCGTGCTGCTTGCACCTGGATTCTCCGGCCTCACAGCTTTCGCTACCTACCTCCTCACCAACGAGATGTCAACTTCTCCTTCCGCTGGTCTCCTCGCCGCTATCTTCATGGGTATTGCCCCCGGTTATATTTCCAGATCAGTTGCTGGCAGCTACGATAACGAAGCCATCGCCATTTTCCTTCTCGTGTTTACCTTCTACCTCTGGATCAAGGCCTTGAAGGTTGGATCAGCATTCTGGGGTGCTCTGTGTGCGCTTTTCTACGGATACATGGTTTCAGCTTGGGGAGGATATGTCTTCATTACCAACTTGATTCCGTTGCACGTATTTGTGCTTGTTTGTATGGGTCGCTTCAGCCCAAGACTCTACGTGAGTTACTGCTCGTGGTACGCTCTAGGAACGTTGGCCAGCATGCAAATTCCATTCGTAGGATTCTTGCCAATACGTAGTAGCGAACATATGTCAGCCCTCGGTAAGCTCTTTCCTGAATCTATGGCGGACCATGGCTTATGATTTCTAGGCGTTTTCGGTCTTCTCCAATTGATTGGATTTGTGGAGTTTGTCCGTTCTGGGGTGCCGAGCAAGCAATTCGCTACTCTCCTCAGGGGCTTCGTCCTGGCTGTGTTCGTCATTGCCTTCGGTGGCCTGGTTCTTTTGACCGTCTCTGGTGTTATTGCACCGTGGACCGGACGTTTCTACTCCCTCTGGGATACTGGATACGCTAAGATCCACATTCCAATTATCGCCTCCGTGTCCGAGCATCAGCCAACAGCATGGCCGGCGTTCTTCTTTGACTTGAACCTTCTCATCTGGCTCTTTCCAGCAGGCGTCTACCTTTGCTTCCAGAATCTCCGTGATGAGCAGGTGTTCGTTGTTGTCTACTCCATTCTTGCCAGTTACTTCTCTGGTGTTATGGTCCGACTTATGCTCACCCTCACACCAATTGTCTGTGTCTCTGCGGCTCTCGCTTTGTCAAGTCTCCTTGACACATACCTGACCATCAAGTCCCCCGCAGAGTCCGTCCCAGGCGCGCCAGATGCGGCTACGAATGGAAAGCATACTCCTAAGAAGACGGATGGGCTACGCTCCATGCGTAACCCGCTTGTTGGCATTTACACCACTTTCTCAAAAGCTACCGTTGTTGGTGCTCTTACATCTTACCTCTTGGTGTTTGTTATGCACTGCACCTGGGTCACGTCAAACGCGTACTCATCCCCATCCGTGGTTCTGGCAAGCAGAATGCCCGACGGCAGCCAACACATCATCGACGACTACCGAGAGGCATACCAATGGCTCCGCCAGAATACTGCGGAAGATGCTAAGATCATGTCATGGTGGGATTACGGTTACCAAATCGGTGGTATGGCCGACCGCCCAACCCTTGTTGACAACAACACATGGAACAACACTCATATTGCGACTGTCGGAAAGGCTATGAGCTCCCGTGAAGAGGTAAGCTACTCGATTATGCGTCAGCACGAGGTCGACTATGTTCTTATCGTTTTTGGTGGGCTTCTGGGATACTCCGGAGACGATATCAACAAGTTCTTGTGGATGGTAAGAATCGCTGAGGGTATCTGGCCTGAGGAGATTAAGGAGCGAAGCTTCTTCACCAGTCGAGGAGAATACAAGGTTGATGACAGTGCTACCGAAACCATGAAGAATAGCTTGATGTAAGTACCGCCTCCTGCATTACTGTATCCCTACTAACAGTATCAAAGGTACAAGATGTCTTATTACAACTACAACGCCCTCTTCCCAGCAGGACAGGCACTAGACCGGGTTCGTAACGTTAAAGTCCCACAAGTCGGACCAGTCTTGGACACTGTCGAGGAGGCATTTACCAGCGAAAACTGGATCATCCGGATCTACAAGGTTAAGGACCTAGATAATGTCGGCCGAGATCATGCCACAGCTGCGGCGTTCGACAGGGGGAGCAAGAAGAAGAAGACGACTAAGAAGAGAGGACCAAGAGTGTTGAGGGTTGAGTAAAGATGGGCAGGCAAGGAAAAATAGACACTTCGTCTGATGTATATGTATCATATCACGCCTTGTTCCCACCCCTGGGGCAGGGGCTAAAAGTGCAGCGAGTTGATTGATGTAGAAATTGACCAGTAAATATGGCCTGCGCTTGCAAGTGACTCGTTGGTACGGTGAAGTATAATACTAATTTAAACTTCCTACCTGATTTCCTAGCGTGAATGCGATCGATACAGAGAGCTCATGTTTTGATGCATTTCCTCATAATGTGGCAGTAGTGCAGGATTCTGCCACCAGCGATCTACTTCACTCATGCATCCCCGTATTGATACCAAAATATCCTCTTTGGCCTGCTGAAGCAAGGCTAGATCCTATTTGTCTATGGTTGTTATAAGCATGGCTTTCTTAAGGCAGGTTGCCGCCTTTTCTGTGTATTGACCACTATTGCTTGCACAAATTGACTATTATACTGATTAGCAGAGTTCATAGCAGCTGCACGTTTTCTTTCATTTAGATTTTTTATTATTATTTCCATTTCAGCCACGGTAGGTCGACAGGGCTGATTTCGTGAATTATCGTGGTATTTCTGTCTTGAGCCTCTTGTATTTTTCGGAAGAACGGCTGGCAGAAGCGGTCATTGCCTACTGTGTGACAACTGATATCCTCGCCTAATCAAGCAAGAGCGAACTTGTCAGCTGTTTTCTGCCAAGCATTCAATTTCTGCCAACACTCACAACCATCGACCTCGATATCTGCATAACCATCGACCTCGACATCTACGTTTCCTCTTGTCCGCCTTTCAACTGCTCCCAAATCAAGCCCCAAACCCATTGGCATTGTGCCCCTGTGATAGTGTTTGTTGGCAATGATGCTCTCCGTGTAAGCAAATTCCGAGCACAATTCCTGCCGCAGCCAATTGGCTACTTGCGTGCGCAATTGGCCTCACTTTTCGAGCACAACCTGATCATGACTATCTGCAGGGTCAAATCTAATCGCACTGCGGCGCCTGAAGGCGAAGACTCGAGCTCCTCCGACGAGCAGCGTATTCTTCCTCCCGGAACACCATACCTAACGAAGGTCAATGGCAAGCTGGTGTGGGCGCGTCAGAAGACTCACAAGGTTGCCAAAGTTGAGGCTTTTCTGGCCGGAACGGCCGTCGTCCGCGAGCGATCGAAGTCCCTTGAGAGGCCAGCGCCGAGGCAGATGATGATAACAGGGCCCGTTCCGGTAGTACGAGCTCAGCGTCTTCTTGCGCAATCGACTCCAATCTCACAGCAGCAGGTCCAAAATGCAGTGCCACCGATAGCACAGTATGTACCCCAATACTATACTCAATACCAGCCACAGATGATGCAGCAGCTTTTGCCAGAGCCTCCACGTGTGTATATTCCGCAGCAACAACTTCAGCAACAGCCTCAACAGCCTCAGCAACCTCAGCAACCTCAAAGACCACCGCGACCACCGCCCCCGCCGCTCTTCGTTCAGACAAGCCCAACACCGCAAGATTTTGAACAGCTCAAGGCGGCGGAAGCACACTTCAATGGTCTCGACAAGCCTCAACCGTCTCGAGTCACGTCTTTTGAAAGTGAGAGCACGCAAAGAAAAGAGCAAATAAAACCACAAAGCACGGCACAGGACAATCTAGGAGATGAAGCCCAAAAATTACAGAAAGAAAAGGTTTCTCTGAGAGCAAACATTGCAGTCACCAGGCATATCTGTGGTAATTGCGGGCAGATCAGATCTCGTAAATATCACTATGAAAACCCTTTGAAGCCTGGTGAAATTCCCAACCCTAGCTTTTGTCTAAGGTGCCGAAGAGATGCCAGTTCAACTAGTGGCTCAAATACTGCCAAGGATTCAAAGAAGAAAGATAGGAAGAACACAAAGAAGAAGGGAAAGTCGAAAAAGGTTAGTGATCTGTTTTGGAACTAAATGAATCAAACAATACTGATGAAAGTAATAGAAGCCTGTGGTAGCTTTGAGCGATGGAGATGATGACGATGATGATTCTTCGGATCATCCAGCACCGGAGCCACCAAAGAAGCCTACGCCTGATGATCCTGATAAGCCGGGCAAGGGGGGTAAAGCGAACAAGTCAGACGAGCCGAATCAGGCCCTAGGAAAGCGAGTACCTTCCCCAGAGTATATTTTCATCGAGGCCTCCGAAGATGGGCGAGAAGCCAGAGGAAGATCGCGTAGTAGGAGCCCAGAAGAATACGTATACTATCGTCGCTCGATATCGCCACCTGGGCCCCAGCACTCTCGTCGATCCCGATCACATTCAATAGTCCGATCGCGACAAGATCCTCTTTGTAAATCAGCACGCCCAGTCAAGCTTCGCGAAGTGGTCAAGGACACAGTTCGGCGTCAATCTCCCTTAGTAAAATATAGATACGTCGAAGTCATCCGGGAGCCTAAGACTATCGAACCAAAAGAGAAGCCGTACCCGAGAAAGATACCTATTCAATTTGAGGACGAGGCTGTACACGATGAACCAGCGCCGCCTCCTAAGCTTTCCCGGGAACCAGAGACTCTGCATCAGAAAGCCTTTTCATACCAGACATACAGTGTTGAAGAGCCAAAGAATTCAAAGCCAGGTCCACCAAGCACTCGTCACGGCTTTGGGGTGTGGAAGGCATCGAATCGTGGCCCTCCTACCGGTCACCACAGCTTTGAGCGCGAGACGTCGATTCGAGGCCAAGGCTCAATAGCACCTAGCTCGGATAGCCGACATCGATCTGCCAGAGATTCTGTCTACAACCATGGAGCATCTGCTGGAGCCCGACCGTCCAGAGGTCAAAGCTCTATGGTGCAAGAACCATTTGTGCGAGACGCTCCGAGCAGTCACCACAGCTTCCAAATGAAAGAGACACCTGCTCGAGACCATCCTCCTAGAGATCCTAGTTTGAATAGCCGACGTTGGTCCATCAGGGGCTCTGTCCATGAAGAACAAGGAACGTCAACTCGCGGACCAGCTACCAGAGAGTACAGCTTCGAGGAGCGCGAGACTATCAGCCCAGAGCGTTTAACTGAAGCACGCCGGCGTAGAAGACGAGAACGAGAGCCTCCTGGCGGCTCTCGTCCATTTGAGGAGCAACATGTCATCCACCCTAAGGAAAAGCACGAATGCAGAGTTGTGACGGAAACTTCCGAGTACCGCAATAAAGAGGCTGAGGATGCAGAGGGTCGCAGAAGACAAGAGTATATCGACAGAGCTACTCTAGACTCTCGCAAGAGCACCCAAGTTCCAGCTCAAGAGGCCGAAAAATACTACCATGGAGATTGGTCAAGACCAGGGCCTGATCCGTTGGTAGTGCCGTCGATTTTCAGAAAGCCTTACCAAGAGTATCGAAGCTATAGACGCCCAGAGTCGGTCTCCACCGAGTCGATCAAGCGGGATATGACTCCGATGACTCCGATCATCAACATACCCTACCAAGAATATCGTAATCCAACACAAGATGTCTCCGACTACAGCGAATCTTCGGAAAACACCTATCAACCTGGTATATTATCACATCTCTCCTCATCCATTCAATTGTTTTAGTCATTTTCTAACACTTCCATCAGCTCATCATGGCCCCCCTCGAGTTCCTTCGCCGCCTTCAGCCGTCAACTCTTACGTCAAAGTGCAAGCATGGAACGATGAGCCTCCATATCCAATGACTCCCGATGAGAAAGTTGTCCATATGCCAAAAGTCCAAATCTCAATCGGCCGCCAACGAAGTAATTCCAAGCCCCGGCCAGCATACTTACGCTCGGAGACCGAGGAGATGGCCCTCTTCAGATCACCAAGACAATCTAATTCCTTCGAAGGACCGGAGAGATCAGATGGATACATTGGCTACACGGACTCGAACTTCAACGAGAAGCATGACCCAGGCCGAAATAGAGACGATGGTGACCAAGACTCAAATTTCACGGAGATGCGAGGCCCGGTGAGATATAACCAGGTGTCGGATGCGAATTTGACCGAGTTGGAGAGGCTGGCTGAGGCTGAGGCTGGGGCTGGGGCTGGGGCTGGGGCTGGGGCTGGGGCTGGGGCTCAACATGTATCGTTCAGGGAAACACCATTAGTCAGGTCGATGTACGAGCCGTGGTTGCCGTCGGAGATCAAGAGTCAGCTGTCCGAGAAAGAGTATGATGCGAGTGGATGGCGGGGTACTGGCGGTGATTGGATTGAGATTGGGCCGGATGATGAGATATTTGGAGGATGAATCGGCTGGTCGTCGGGGGTCGTCGCAGATGAATGGAGAAGCCGCGGTTGTAAGTTTGAAAGCTTGGGAGCTTGGGAGCTTGGGAGTGTGGAAGTTGTGTATTGTGTGTTGTATTTTGAGATGTAAGATTGTTGCGTGTTGAGGAGTTGTGTTAGGGTATTGTTCGAACTCAAAACTCGAGCTGACGCGCAGAGAGAACTTTCTTGGGAGCAGGAAAGGGCAGTTAGTCGTTAGAATGATACTCTGTAATCTGAAAAGTATTTGGTACGAGAAGGGAGTGACTATAGGATTGAGGATTAGGATGATGTGTGTAGGTAAGTATTCAAGTAAGGATCGCCTCTCGTTTCCGTGGTTCAAGGAAAGCTGTCGAACGTCCTCCTCATGCTCATCGATCCCACCTGGCCCATCCCGCCACCTGGCTCAAAAGAGCAATTCAATCAATCAATCCATATCACGCCTAGTCGTCGGAACTCCTCCCCTTAGAAGCTACCCAGCTATCCTCATTCTACCCCCTCTTTCTGTCTTTCTTCCTTCCTTCCTTCCTTCCTTCCTTCCACAGAGCCCCCGAAGTTCAACTGCCTCCCTCTCTCCGCTTCCGTGACGACGTGTCGCAAACGCAAACGCAAACGCGTCCTCTCACACTGCACACTGGGGGTGCGTCCTCTCTGCATACTTACATACCTACCTACCTAATAAACGCTTTACTTTACGCGATTCCAGATTCCAGATTCGAGGATTCGAGAATTCGAGATTCGATTAACATACGTACGGGCTTCACAAAATATCTAGGATGATTTGTGAGGGAGAAGAGGTAGAGAAGGTAGAGCAGGAAGAGAAGGTAGAGAAGGAAGAGAAAGAGAAAGGGATGTACGGGAGGGGTTTCTTGGATTCTCGATTCTCGATGCTCGATCTGGGCAAGGATTACAGGTGGGGATCCACGGCCTTGAATTCTTCTACCTGGCGCGGGGCCGTTCTTGCGAGGTGCTTACAGGTTCGGAGGTTGGATGGCTGCGTTCTGAGGAGGAGGGAGAGGGGGAGGGAGGGCTGCAGGCCTGTCTGCCAGCTTGCTGAAGCCAGTGAGTAAGTGGTGTTATGATGGGAGCTATTTGCTTTTTGAGGTTTGCTTTTTGAGGTTTGCTTTTTGAGGTTTGCTTTTTGAGGCTTGCTGTTGCTGTTGCGGTTGCTGTTGCGGTTGCGTTTGTTGAGGTAGGTGTACATGTGTGCCGCAAAAGCGAGAGGAAGCACCTGCGCAGGATAGGTAGGTAGGATGTCAGGTAGGTAGGCAAGAACCAGACTTCAAAGATTCCCCCTGAACGAGCTTCAACCCAGCTTGAAATTTTATTGCTTATAGCGTTACTGAGACTCTAGCTCCAACACTACATCTAGCATGGAATCCAGGGAAGCTATTGAAATACTCTTCGTTGCATGGATGAATGACGGGGAAAATGAGATCCTAGCCGACCAAGGAGAGGAGAGGAGAGGAGAGAGACGAAAATGCATAGCACTAGGCTCGATAGACTCACGGATACAGCTTCGAGGAGAAATTCATTGCTATGGCAGCTGTGCTATGGCTCAGAAAGAGGCATGCGACTATGAGTGAGGACGCAGCAATCACTCACCATCCCGCTCCTTCTTCATGGCAGTAAGGTACCGAACAGTGTACGTCAAGAAGTCAAACTCCCCCCGATCCTTCTTAATAGAGCGGATCTCAGCCGGCATAGGCCCAAAGTACGCATCCAGCCACCCATCAGCCTCCACATAGTTGATGGGGTACCAATCTCCAGCCGGCGGAAGCATTCTAGAGTTCTGAGAATCGTCGGATCCAGCTACACTGTCGGAGTCCAGTGGGTTGTCAGCTATGGCTCCCAGGCTTCCGTAGAAGTCCACATCATCTTGCACGAATTTGCTCTTCTTTGCTTGCTTTTCCCCCCTAGCATGTTCAGCTAGTCGTCTCCTCTCTGGATCTGTATTGCCGTCCTCTTGGAGCTTCGCGGTATTGATGGAACTTGTCGGCCCCATATTAACAGCAGATTCTTGGCTTCCATCCGAACCTGTAACTCCTCCGAAGTTGTTAATGCTTCCAGCGGGATCATCTGCCGTTTCTTTTCCAACAAGGCTCTCCCTGACCCTGCGGATCTTGGGCTCGCCACTGAAGGCTGATTTCTTTGCCATGGCCTCTTTAGCGGACCATTTTTTCTCATTTTTGCAAGCCGGAGAGACCCTTGGCTACGCATACGGTCAGTACCTCATACCAGACTGTTGACTTCAGGAAGCCCTACCGTATTCAATCTGCGCTCCTGCCTGAGTAGCTTATCAAGCATTTTAACACTGCTAGCCGTCGCCATCTTTGCCCGTATCTGCGCGATCTGTTCGTTTTTGCTCAACAGCGGGGTTTCGTGGACCTGGTATTAAATTCTTAGTAACGTCTCAAGCTCAGTTAAGAATCATTCATGGGCTTTAATACCCGTGCAACGACCTGTTGGATCTCCAGCTCAGCTTCAGCTTGTACCTCCGCTTCTTCTAGGCCACGATTTCGCAGGTTGCTGAGATCTATATACTCTCTAGATGCATTGACGGCGTGAATGTAGATGGCCTTGATTTGACCGGTGGTTAGAGTGAGGTGCTGGTTGTCCCGGATAACCCACCGCGCGAAGGTCTCTGGCCTGACGAACTGTCTCAGAATCGGGAGTTCTGTTGATTTCTTGTGACTTATTATGATGGAAGGTATGGAAAGACCTGCTGGGAGGAGAGCATCGTCGCGAGATTCATATGGATCGTTGAAATTTTCCGAGCAGGGTTGTCTTGTCCTCTCCTCCTTGTTGAGAGTGGGAACTGTAGGAACATTGGGCTCGGGATCGAGAATTGTTTTGGGCTATTGCTTAGGTAAAAATCCATACCTACATGATAAGATCCTCAAGAGAGCTTACTGTAGTTAAGCGTTTCTCTCGGGCGAGCCATTTTACAATATTCTTGTTGTCGGGCGACTCTGCAATCATTGTCCGAACATGATGAATTTGCTCGTCTTTGCTTAATATCTCATCAGTTTGGATCTAGAATCGGCATGTTAGTAAAGTTCAGGTTGCAGCTGGCAATTAAGACTTACCTGGGCTATGACTTTCTGGATTTCGAGATCAATTATGGCCTGCCTGTCTGCATCATTTAGACGATCAAGACGGCTTCTCTTGGGTAGTTTGGTAAGATCCACGTATGGCTTGGCCATATTCACGGCAATAACATACGCCGTCCTCAATTCGTCGGCCGAGAGGTTGAACTGCTCATTCTGTTTGACGAGGCGCTTGGCGTAAGTCTTTGGTTTGACGAACTGTCTGAAGATTGGTATTCCACCTGGTAAATTGGGACAAGTCAAGATCACTGGTAAGGTGAGTCCCTCTGGAAGGGTCGTGTTGCTGCTAGACAGACTATTGCTGTTGTCCAAGTTATGGTAGGTATTTTTCAAGACGAAGGGAAATGGAGGCCCTTCACGAAGATTAGTGTCACCGCCGGGTAGACTACCACCGTTATTCAGGGTATCATGAGATAACATGGCTGTACTGTCGAAGACGTCGAAGTAAGCATCGTTATCGCCCAAGTCATCGTAGGGTACTGAGTATGAGCCAATAAGATCATCAAACTCCAAGCCAGCTCCACCGCCGTTTTCATCAGCAGACTGGGCATCTTCAAAGTCGCGTTCGTCAGCTGACTGTGCGGGATCCCTACTCTCTGCATCGCGACCAGGTGGCAGTATAGACTTTCGTGGAAAATTGGGCCACTGTACTGCGGCCGGATTAAGAGGCGCCATGATTGAGCGCGAGAGATGTTGTGGTTGGGGCGGAGGTGAAGAGAGAGCAGGAAGAGAGAAGTGGGCGAGCATAGACTCCACAACTTTGAGTACGCGCGATCACGAGGTCGTCTAAGTAGTTAAGGACAAACGGAGCTGAGCTGCAATATATGAATGGAGCACTATTGCTTGAATCTGTGAGAGGGAGATTATTGTAAGTTTTATTTGATAGCTTAGCCCAAAGCTCACCGTCAGATGGCTCGCCCGACGATGTAGTCGAAGTTTCCCTGAGTACTAGGAAGTTGGGGCGGAGAGAGAAGCCCAATATATGCGGGTGGGTCTGGCTCGAAAAGACAAAAGCAGACGTTACTACTGTAAATCGTAATTCTAGTAATATTAAGTCTACGCATCTATGCTACTTTGAAAGGCACTACAAATCTACTTGCTCGTCTACAACTTCCCGGCCTGCGTCTCAAACTCCTTACTAAATGGCCAAGTAATGTATCCGTCCTCCTGCTTTGCATTATAGAACTTTTTCCGATCATATGGTGTGAAAGCAATGCCTTGCTTCAATCTGAATACCAGATCGGGATTGGAGATGAAGTACCGTCCAAATACCACAACGATATCACTGCCCGTATATTCCTCGTCAACAGCTCTCTTCGCAGACTCAGGCTTGAATCCACCGGCAATCAAGACCGGACTTTGGTTCGCCCAGATGTCGATTAGAAAGTCGACTTTTTCGGTGTTCTCCACATCAGCGTTCCCTGAGACCCGCGACTCGACAAGGTGGACGTAGGCCAGCTTCAGCTTCTTCAGCTCGTTCGCGTAATACGCAAATTGTGGCACCGGATCGTGCATTTTCATGCCTTGAAATGGCGAGAACGGGCTCAGCCTAATGCCGGTTTTCTCAGCACCAACAGCATCAACCACGGCTTTCGCAACCTCGAGACCAAATTTCGCTCGCTTCTCCACGCTCCCACCCCAAGCATCGGTTCGATTGTTGCACGTATCTTGCAAGAATTGATCGATCAAGTAGCCATTCGCGCTGTGAATCTCCACACCATCAAAGCCGGCCTTGATGGCATTCTTCGCAGCCTGGGCGTACAGCCCAACATATTCCTTGATCTCCTCATCCGTCAAAGGCGTAGGTGTAGCACCACCTTCAAACGTAATATCGCTGGCACTCTTCACGACCCCTTTCTCGCCCAGCTCTTCCCTCAAGTTATCAGCAAACGCCGCCCGTCCCAGCGCCCAGAGTTGCAGGTAGATGAACGACTTCTTTCTGTGCACCGCGTCGGTGACGTTCTTCCAACTTGCAATTTGTGCTTCGGACCAGATTCCAGGGGCGTTAGCCATACCACCAGCTTGCGGGGCGATGAATGTGGCTTCGCTGATAAGGAGAGTTCCTGGAATCGAGGCACGCTGGGCATAGTATTCGGCAACCATGGGGAGAGGAACGTGGGTCTCGTCTGCGGCGCGGAGGCGGGTGAGGGGTGCCATAACGACTCTGTTCTGGAGCTCGAGGTTGCCCAGCTTGAGTGGTTTGAAGAGATTGGAGGTGGCCATTGTGTTGCTTGTTTGTTGAAAATCAAGATTCTGGAAGGGTATCTTATGAGAAACGGAATTGGGATTAGAACGCTATGAGAAGGAGAACGGATGGAAAGAAAATCTACCATGGAGGGGCAAGATCTTTATACCAACGCTCTGCCCCTCCTTACCGCATAGTCTGCCGGTATCCATGATGGCGTATGCACAAGTAAGTCCTCCATCCACCCTTTGACCTTTGATTGTTCAGCAAGTCCGGGCGAACATTTTGCAAGTCCTCGGCGATAATTTGCGGACTAAACCCAACAGACCATCGGATTGGTTGGCCATTCAAGATAACCGCCACAGTAAGCTTTCGGGCTTGGAAAGCAGATGTCGATGCTGAGGGATATGCCAGCAATTCTGAATCTCGGATTAGAAATCAACAGTCATGACATGAAGTAGATCTCGGCAGTGTCGGTGGCCAGTGCCCTCACCCTGTCGACTCCTGCTTGGTGTTACGGCCGAAGCGAACGACTCGTCAGTTTGCATATACCCGCATCTTTATCTGGACGACATGCTATCATTATCAATCAATCCTATGATATTTGTTTCTACTGCGTCCTCTCGTTTCGTGGAAGGAACACGAGATGCCAAACCATATCCGGTAGCACCGCATTCGAGGACGATTTCTCGGGAATGTCCCATATCGAGCATATTATTAATTACTTGACCGACTTTGGTTCAGTTGAAATAAACCTGCAACCGTGCCATACATCACTGCATAGGGGGGGAAAAAAAAAAAAAANAAAAAAAAAACCACCGTATATCAGCTTCGTTTCTCAGTAGATGCTTGAATTTGCAACTTCCCTTAGTTCTGAGCAGGGCTTCTGCAGGGTGGGTATCATAGACTATAGCATTGCTACTGCTCCACGAAAAGACTCCTTTCCTGGACCAGGATATTACATCGTGTCGACGGGGTTGAAAGTGAAAGAATATATGCGTATGTATGGGTTTGTTCTGAGCTCTAAGTGTAGGGAAACAATTGATAAAATCTTACCATTCAAGGAAGAAGTTCTGGGAGCGATGACACATTGGATATCAAGTGAGCCTTACATATTCTTCCTAGTAGATCTGCAATTAACGTGGGATTCATGCGTCTAATAAGGAGTTGGTGTTAAATGGTTATGGTAGCCTGTACCATGCAGGTAGCAGACTATTGTACCCGACATTCGAATCCGTCAGTGTATCGAAAAATACTTACCTAGATTGTCTTATTGGAAAAAGTGGTGACGTTTGGGAACTCTTTGGTTCCGGCTGACCTAAGCCAACAACACCTATCTTGGATAAAAATACGGATATCATCTGCTTGACGGCATATGCCTGTCTTGAACAATGCCCACGCTCGCAATGCCCCCTTTGACGCCGTCAATGCAATCCCCAAACCCGTGAGTCATTTTCTCCAAGAAACGAAACGACGCAACGCTAGTCACTATACGTGCTGCCACCCATTCTCGAACAGCACCTGCATCTCGTTAATCAAACACTCCAGCCCATTCTCCTTTCTGTCCTCCGGCGGACTCATCTTCCTCCCTTGCGCCACCCAATTACTGACCCTCGCCTTCACCACCCTAGTCTCGCTCCAAATCGCCACCCTATTTATGGTCCTGGCCCATCTATTTACCCAGGTCCCTACCACCGACTCCCACCCACCCGGCCAAATACTCCCGTCTCCACCAGGAACACCATCGACGATATCCCAAATATCAGACTTGATCTCTACACCGCCGTTGACTGCGGAGTACGGAGAGGCCTTGTACGCTACTCGCACATTGGGGTTGACCCAGACGCCTTTTATTCTCCGGAGAGGGTTATCGGAGTGGATGAGGCAGCATTCCGAGCCCTCGAGGTGTTCGTTGCCGAGGGAGTCGGCGATGCCGCGGAACTTGAGCGGTGGATTTGCATAGAACGGTGCGGCGGAAAGGGAGATGAGACCATTCCAGCAAGATGCTACTGGGATGGGTTGATTGTAGTACAAAGCTGAGCGAGAGACAGAGGAGAAGAAGTACGGGTAGCGCTGAGAAGCGGTTTTGTCGCCGTTGATGTCTCGGAGAGCGAATGTGTCGTAGTAGTGGTGTGGATTGCTGGCAAAGTCGATTGCACAAGCTGCCGCGTAATCCCCATCTCTTGTAGAGAGAAGAGTTGTCACATCCTCAGTCTGTGGAGGCAAGTCAGCAGCGCGTGAGGAACAGAATTCTTCACGTGTATTAAAAACGTGATCTTCAAATGCTAACATTCAAAAGACTTACAGAAAACAAAACATCATTTATCCTGGAATGAAAATTTAGAGTCAGTGTTGGGACTTCAAGGAATCATGATGAGTGTTAACAATGTTTGAAGAGACGGAAAGGAATTACCAAGACTCAACTGTGGCCGATAGCTCCCGAAGCAACCTCGTAGGGGAGAACACTTGGAGGATACGTACCAAAGAATCTTATCAAATTTCATCTTCTGACTCGGATCAGTCATGGGCTCCATGGCCTGATTCCTCAAGGCCGCCAGATACGGAATCCGGCGAACCTCCCACTCGGACTTCCGGTTAGTTCGGATCCACCCCGTCCTATCCTCACCTTCTTTGGGAGGGTTCCTTATGAACTGAAGCTGCTCATTGACATCGATACCCAGATCTATTCTGTTTTCGACTCCAAGAGCGATCAACTCGCGCTCCAAGTCTCTCAAGGCACCCTTCGTCTCTTCCTGAGATCCGGATTCGACGATCGATACGTAGACATTCTGAGGACCGAGATGTCGGACGAGGTTCAAAAGTCTTTGATTCCAGTAGAGACGAAGTATGTATTCCGAATTCCGGAAAGTGGAGGCGATGAATATCTTCTCGTCTCTGAGATGAGACGGCAACGAAGTTCTCCTGATTGACGCTGGTCTCGAGGACAGTATCGAGAAGACATCCAGGAGAAAGAGGGTAGCGAGTACGATTAAAACGGGTTTCGGGTGCAGATAGCGCCTGCGGATAGATCGGAAGATAAGTAGCATATTGCTTGCCTCGATGTTGAATCCCGGGGGTCACGGAGACGGGAGCTAGTTGTATGTCGTCAAATTAAAGGAAAAGGAGGTCCGGCTAGGCCGTCCAGGACCACTGTGAAGCCAAGACCAAGACTTTTTTATCAATAATTCCTACCATCCAGGAGACGATATCGAAGGTGACTGAGAAATAGGAAGTGAGATTGAAGAGTAACAAGAGAAAATAGGGCGACAGTGATATCAAAGCTACCTGGGTACCTACTATGCTTCAAAAACGTACCTCTTGACAAAAAAGTACTTGTCTGGTCCACGGTCCACTGAAACCTTAGAAAGGTGTCCTCGGCAAAAAGCGCCGTTGGGTCTCTTTGGCCGGTCCCGTAAGCGAGTGCACGTGCGAAGATCATCCAAGGGTCGGGTCTTTCAGTCTCGCACTGGCCACGACATTTATTCATGCTTGAAATCAACATTGTTCGAAACATAGAATCAACATTGTTCGAAATATAGAATCAACATTCTTCGAAATATATTACGTTTTATATGCGTGTACCAACAGCAAGATTTATCACGCTCTTGTTGGCACCGTCACATCGGTCTAGATTTCAATATTGCTTCAGATTGGACCAATCTCTTGCGCCATCAAAATGGCTTTAGTCCTGTCATCCAAATCTCTGTAGCTCAACTGATCAGTCACAGCAGACATACGAGGAATACATGTCGGAAGGCCCGCCTCACAAAGACGGGGATGAGCAAAACAATGCTTGTTGGAAGGTGACCTTGGCAGGCAAAGCTATTCATTCCCTGCATTCTTTACTTCAAGTTTTGAGACACAGCGGGGGATTGAAGAATGCAGCCAAATTGCTGTGCAACTATGTCTTCAGCTTAAATACATATAAATACATAGAACCGAAAGGAATGCGTGGAGAAAGCGACGGGCGCTGGCAGGGGAAACCAGTCAGTCCATATCATGCAAGCTCACTCACAAAACCACTAAAACATAATGAGTGGTAGAATATAGTAATAGCCATCATTTTGCTTGCCTAATTATAAGCTTCTTCTGGACTAAGGTTGATACGTCTGATCGAGCCGAGACCAGTGACCACATAACTCTCCACCATAACTTTTCACTGTAGTTTCTATAGCGAATATTCGCTGTTAGTTGTATTATGTCCAGTTGTGATTGACGCCTTGTCGATCGCCTAGCATGGGTAATAAACTAAGTATACATTTGATCACAGGTCACATGATTATGTGGCTACTTATTAAGCTCCATCACGTCTTCTTTCAAAGTTGATCTTCGACATCCTGGGCTCATCCCGGGCTCATCCCGAGCTAATCCAAATCTATCAGACTCCTAGGAATACTTATGCCATCAAGTGCCACGACTGTAAAATCCCCTACGTGAGTCATGACCTCCAAATCGCGGACGATGAAGCAACTCAAATGGAAGGCCTCTGGCGACGCTGACAAAGGCCTCAATGTTAATCACACTCACCGTATCAAGACATCCTATGGCTCCGGACTCGCCGCCTCAGAGACCGTCCCATCGGGATCAGTCATCCTTAAGCTCCACTCGCCAAATCTGCTCCTCGTGGAAAAGGAGAGTCTTTCCAGGGTATGCTCATTCTGCATGCGCGAGTCTCAGACCATGAAACGCTGCAGTGCCTGTAAAATACCACACTACTGCGGAAAGGCTTGTCAAATCGGGCATTGGCGGGAGATTCACGGCCGGGAATGTGCACTCTTAAAGCAGTTGCCCGATGTACCGCCTACGGCTGTCAGAGCTCTGATTGTGATGTTGTTGAGAAAGAACAGTGAATCAGAGGGTGATGAGGAGAAGGGCTGGAAGGCGTTGGAGAGTCATGTCGGGAAGTTGCAAGGAGATAGGAAGAGGTGGGAGGAGGTTTTGTTACAGGCGAGGGCAGGGATCGAGTTTACGAAGTCCCGGGTAGAGCGGATGGAAGAGGCTATCATGTATCTTTGTGTGGTAAGAAAAGCCCGATCCAGTTATTTTCACTATAATTCGAGATTGCTGACGATCATAATTCAGTTATCAACAAATGCCTTCCGGATCACCCTACCAGACAACACGCCTTTCGGCATGTGTTTTTCTCCCACGCTTGCTCTTGCCAACCACTCCTGCAAACCGAACGCCATTATAGTCTCCAATTCTCGCAGTATCTCTCTTAGAGCTTTGAGGCCTATCAAGAAGAACGAACAAATCTTCATCTCGTACATCGACCCCACTGAGGACCTCCCATCCCGGCAATCAAAGCTCAAGGAGCGCTACTTCTTCACTTGCAAATGTGACAGTTGCGAGAAGAACGAGAATCCTTATGAGGCTTTTTTAACATACCAAGAAGAGATTGGAGAAGAAACAGCCGATAAGAGGATGGATATGTTTCATCCACAGCAATATCTCGCGAAATCAGCGCAGAATATGGCTACCATTCTGCAACAGATGCCAATCGTCAAGCAACACCAAAACCATACATGGAAAGCTAGTGCTCTATTGGAACAGAGCCAGAAGCTTAGCGAAGCCAACAAGAGATCCCGGATCTCCACTCTTGTCCATGCTGCCTCATTGTGCGATCCGCTGACCAGCGAGAAAATATATGCCTTGGCGCCCTATCCAGAGATTCTCCACGAGCTTTATCTAGCATATGTAGATGCTCAAGCCTTCGTATTTGCTCTTATCACTCTGCTACACCTATTCCTCGGCGTCGATGTCTTCACATACTGTCAACCTCACCACCCCGTACGTGTCGTTCGACTCTTCACCATTGCCAAGCTCTTGAAACACATCGCGTCGCTCTCGCCGACCGAGCTCCTCCAGGACATCAGCGGAGACAATACGTGTCCGCGCGGAGAGGCCTTGCAAGGAAAGGAGGATATTGCGAAATCTGTGCAGAGTATGGACATCATCAATGCATTTCATGCTATTATGATTCTGGTGTGGGAGGAAGCGAAGAAGAGCCACGGGGATGATAGTTTATTCGTGGCGGAGGTTGAGCAGGAGATCGAGGAGGCCGAGGAAGTGCAGAAGAGGAGGGGACCGATTGGGGACAGTCTGAAGAAGTGGATGGAGGATGTAGAGGATGCGGAAGGGAGCAAGCAGGCCGAGAAGTGTTTTGCCGGATTAAGGACGTTAGCAGGGCTGTCCGAGAAGGTCTTCCGATCATAGATCAAAGCAGCATATTATGGAAAATTCAAAGCAAATGATACCCGCCTATGTTAAATTCGAAATCTAATATGTATATCAAGTAATCAATAATCAATCAATATCGTTAATTATGTCGAGATAAAAGTGGATCCTGGCTAGGACCGTAAACCCGTAAATTGTTAACAAGGAGGTTACCTTAAAGGCAGGTAG